CTGCAGACGCGCAACGGAAAGCGCACTGCGCCAGCTGCATTGCAAATTGCAGTCGACATGGCAAACGAAGGCTTGATTTCCAAGTCGCAAGCCATCTTGAGCTTGAAGCCGGATCTTGTCGATCAGCTTCTTCACCCTACGCTGGACCCGAAAGCCAAAAAGGAGGTGATAGCCAAGGGCCTTCCTGCTTCTCCCGGTGCCGCGGGGGGCAAGGCTCCTTTGCTTGATGTGTGCTGAAACTTGCGAGGGCTCACGGCGCACACTCCCAACGTGACCCTTAATTTCCTCATGGGTGAAGCCTGCTCCCTTTGCAGGTTGTCTTCTCCGCTGACGAAGCAGTGCGACGCTGCAAGGATGGCGAGAAAGTCATCCTGGTGCGTATTGAGACAAGCCCTGACGACATCCATGGCCTGCACGCAGCAGAGGGAGTCCTCACCACTAGAGGCAGATGTTTTTTCCTAGGCTATGTGATGTGCTGGGCTTCAATCCCCTATGTGCTAATGCGCAGATGCCTCTGCCGCATGTCTTTCGCTGCAAGGTGGCATGACGAGCCACGCTGCCGTGGTAGCCCGCGGAATGGGCCGGCCATGTGTGGCGGGTGCGGGCGCAATCACCGTGGACTACGCTGCAGCCAAGCTTACAGTGGGCGCGGTGACTGTTTCGGAAGGCCAGATCCTCACCATTGACGGCGGCAGCGGGGAGGTCATCGTTGGCGAGGTTCCCACTGTGCCACCCCAGCTTTCTGGAGCCTTCGGCACCATGATTGAGTGGGCGGACGAGTTCCGAGACATGAAAGCCTGGGGCTGAGCCGACGGAAGCTTCAACAGACTTCCTAAACGTTTCGGTGGTGGGTCTGAGTCCAAGGAATACTCACTTTAGCTCCCATTTCGCTGATTTTCTTAGCAGGAAGCAGTGGAGGAACTGCATGTTTTCTCTAGTGGAGGACTGGACTATGGCATGTCTTCTCTCTCTCAAGGTCCGAGCCAACGCCGAGACGCCCGCAGATGCACGGCAAGCCAAGGTATTTGGTGCGGAAGGCATTGGTTTGGTCCGCACTGAGCACATGTTCTTCGACGGGCAGCGAATTGTCGCCATGAGGCAGATGATCTTGGCCACCGATGAGAGCGATCGTCGCCAGGCACTGGACAAGCTGCTGGTCATGCAACGGCAGGACATCGTAGAACTTAGAACTTCATAGAACTTAGAACGTAGAGTTCTAGTTCTATGACTCTGTCTAGTCTTTGAGCGGCGACGAGCCTCTAGGGTACGGCACCCTGTGGTCTCACTATGGAAAATTCGCGGCAGGACATCATTGAGCTTTTCCAAATCATGGATGGCAATCCCGTCACGGTGCGCTTGCTGGATCCTCCTCTGCATGAGTTCATCCCGCACCTGGGCAAAACAGGTCTTACTTTGCCTTTGAGTCTTCGAGGCTTGACGCATCTTGAGGCAAAGCTCTGTTCAGAGTTTTTGTAAGATCTTATAGCGAAGGCACACCGAAGCGGAGATGACACTGGTGGCCAAAGCGGCGGGTGTTCCTCTGGAGCGGGTCCGGCGACGTGCTGCGGAGCTGCAGGAGGCCAACCCCATGCTGGGCCATCGCGGCTGCCGGCTGGCCATCACCTATCCGGAGATCTG